TTACTCATTCCCCCATTGATGGACATTGTTTACAAATTTTTACTACTAGAAACATTGTTGTGACGAATGTCTTTGAATATGGCTTCTTCAGCGTGTGTTAGACGATTTTCTCTTGGCAGATATGTAGGAATGGAATCTCGGGAGGTGCACTATATACGCATCTTTAACTTTATGGAGCTGGCAGGTACCATCTAATATGCCCCCAAAAGTGTATAAGGCTTCTCACCAGCACTTATTGTCAGACTTCCAATCTCTTGCTAATCTGCTAGGTAGAAAGAGACTTGATTTTTTTTTTAAGTTTACTAATTTATTTTGAGAGAGAGAGCACACGCGCTAGCAAGCAGCAGAGGGACAGAGAGAGGAGAGATTCCCAAGCAGGCTCCACACTGTCAGCACAGAGCCCTGTGTGGGGCTCCAAGTCACGAACTGTGAGATTGTGACTCCCGAACTGAAATCAAGAGTTGGAAGCTTAACTCACTGAGCCACTCAGCGCCCCAAAGAGTTGATCTTTTTATTGCTTTTCCCAAACAAATTCAGACTGGGGAATCACAACATCATCCTTTTAAATTTCAGAAAATGATGTTCAAATTCATTCATTCAGGAACCATTTCTGGAGTTCCAGTTATGGGGCAGGCACCATTCTGGATAGTCAGGCTACAGGGCTGACAGATGGGACACACATCTCAGCCTTCACGCAGCTTACATTCTTGGGGGGGGGGCTGGGTAGAGAGAGACAATAAATATGATAAATCAATATGATATTAATCATGTCAGTGATAAATGCTAGGGAGGAAGAGTAAAATAAGGAAGGATGGGCCCAAATGTGTGTGGAGAGGTAGGGTTAATAGGGTGGTCTGGGAACACCTCTTAAGAAAGTGACATTTGAGGGCACCCGGTGGCGCAGTTGGTTAAGCGTCCAACGTCAACTCAGGTCATGATCTCACGGATCATGAGTTTGAGGCCCGCATTGAGCTCTCTGCTGTCAGCGCAGAACCCGCCTCTGATTTCTGTCTCGGTCCCTCTCTCTCCCCTCCCTGCTCGTGTGTGTGTGTGTGTGTGTGTGTGTGTGTGTGTGTGTGTGTGTGTGCTGTCTCTCAAAAAGAAATATTAAAAAAAAAAAGTGACATTTGAGTAAATGCCTGAGGTAATGAAGGAATAAACCACGTATGTGGACTACTGGGGAAAGAACATTCTAGATGGAAAAGGTGGAAGTCTAAGAGGGGAGCATATCTGGCATGTTCAAGGAACAGTGAGGAGGCTTGTGTAGTAGCTTGAGAGGAGGGAATAAGTGGGGAGAGAAAAGGGATGAGGTCAGAGAGGGGTCTGGACTGTAGCACACAGGACCTCCATTTTCAGGACTTTGGCTTTTGCTCTGAGGTGGATGAGAAGCCGCTGGGTGGTTTTGAATAGCAGAGCGATATAATCTGACGTACATATTAAAAAAAAAAAAAAATCAATCTGCTGAGTGTAGAGATTAGATTGAAGGGGGTGAAGGGAGAAACAACAATCTGGGTAAGAGATCACCGGGCTTTGGACCAAGACACTGACAGTAGAGGTGGAGAGAAATATTTGAACCTGGGAATATTTTAATGGTAGAACCAACAGGCATTATTGACGGATTGATGTGGGGTGGGAGGGAGAAAGGAGAAGCAGGGATGAGCCCCAGGATTTTGGCCTGAGCCACTGGTTGGAAGGAGTTGTCATTAACTGAGATGCGGAAGGCTGAGAAGCACATTCGTGGGGGAAGGGGGGATATCAGAAGATCGGTTTTGCCAGTAGACAGAGGGTCTGAGGTTCGAGGGTGAGGTTTGTAGCAGACATACCGATATGGGACGCTCAACAAATAGATAGTATTTAAAGCCATGAGACCAGTGAAATAACCAGTAGATGGGTAACGCCTGGGCCATGGGACACCCTCATGTTAGAGGGTGAGGAGGGGAAAAGGAGCCCGCAAAGGGGCTGAGCAGGAGCAGCAGGCCAGGTGGGTGGAAAATCAGGCAGGTGTGACTTCTGGAACCGAGGGAAGGAAGCATGTCAAGGAAGAGAGTGATGGATCCATCAGGTCACGTAAGACGAGGACTGAGAATTCACTACCAGATTTAATAACATGGAGGTCTAGTCTTGAGAAGTTGATAAGGGTAGTTTCAGTATTGTATTCCCGTATTCCGCCATTCCAGTATCATATTGCCATATGCTCCCTGCAACTTTTCAGGGGATTCCACTGCTGTTCCATATGTAAGATTGAAGTAAAATGCTTGTTACAGACCAGTCCAGAAAAAAAACCCAAAAAACAAAAAACTAATCACTTACAAATTTTTTGGACTAGATATATCTTACAAATAAGGCAGATTATTTTGTTTTGCGCTAACATCTTGAGGCACAAAATGATTTGACCTTAGCTATGGAAAATGTCAAAATCATTGTGACTTCACAGTGGCCACATTTCATCCTCACGTAAAGGGCTTCCATTCTTGGAGTCATGCATTGTTTTAAGGCTGAAGAGCTCTTCAGGATTGGAAGTTCAGAGGAGAGATCAGAAACAAAAAGAATGAGAGAAGGTATTAATGATGTTGAATAGAATAGGAATTTCAGTGTTTTTGCAGTAGCAGTTCTCAGGGGTGGTCCTTCTACCTCTGGCGGCCCCTTGAGAGTGACAGGGTTTTGCAAGATCAAAATTGTTTTCATAACAACTTTCTTTGCCTTTTTCCTCTGTGATCACATACGCACGGATGGTGCAAAAGCAAAGGTGGGTAGAGCTGTTGTTGCTGTAGCTTGAATCCGGGCAGTGGCACGCCTCTCAGCTGTTGTCACCGTATTCCTCAGTGGGGCATACTGGGTGAAAGAGAAGAAAACAGTTAGTTGCACTTACGAATGTACTTGATGGAGCAGTAAAAGTTACTAATTTTATTAAGTCTTGACTCGTATGCGTGTCTTTTTTAATATTCTCTTTGATGAAATGGAAACTATGCTCAAGGCGCTTCTGCGTTCTGAACCATAATGGTTACCTTGAGAAAAAGCACTTTTGTGAGTGTTTGAATTGAGAGCTGAGTTCGTTGCTTTTTTTGTGAAATACTATTTTCACTTAACTGAAGTTACTAGATTTGGGTGTTTGGCAGACATTTTCGTGAAGATGAATGAAGTGAGCCTGTCACTTGAAGGAAAACAGCTCACAGCATTTGTTGCCAATGATAAAATATGAGTTTTGAAGTGAAAAGTAGAATTTTGGAACACATATCTACCACTAAGAGCTTGACAGTTTCCCAATACTTAAAGATCTGTCTGATGATATCACTGGTGACATTTCACAAATGTGCTGTTTTTGGATAGTGTATAATGAAATGTGTCAACATTTGGAATATCTACATAGCTCAGTGAACCAATATTTTTCAAATGACAAAGGACGCTATTACAAAATTGTATACGATTAATAGATCCATTCCAAATGCAAGATAGACTTATACCTCTAGCCAAGATGGAGTGAGGTAGTGAGTGACGCACACCCCACATGTGCTTTTTGGCCATTTGTATATCCTTTTTTTTGAACACTTTTTTTTTTTTAATTAAAAAAAATTTTTTTGATGTTTATTTTTGAGAGAGAGAGACATACAGTGCAAGTGGAGGAGGGGCAGAGAGAGGGAGACACAGAATCCGAAGCAGGCTCCGGGCTCTGAGCTGTCAGCCCAGAGCCTGATGTGGGGCTCAGACTCACGAACCGTGAGATCATGACCCGAGCCAAAGCCGGACGCTCAACCGACTGAGCCACCCAGGCGCCCCAGGAGCCCCCTTTTTTGAACACTTTTAATGTTTATTTTTGAGCGAGCGAGAGAGAGCATGAACGCGTGCGTGTGTGCACGTGGGGGAGGGGCAGAGAGAGAGGGAGACCAAGGATCCAAAGTGGGCTCCTCGCTGACAGCAGAGACCCCCATGTGGGGCTTGAACTCAAGAACCATGAGATCATAACCTGAGCCAAAATTGGATACTCAACCGACTGAGCCACCCAGGTGCCCCTGTATATCTTTTTTGAAGAAATGTCTATTCACATCTTTTGCTGATTTAAAAAATTGGTTTACTTTGGGGCACCTCGGTTGGTTGAGCGTCTGACTTTGACTCAGGTCATGATCTTATGGTTTGTGAGTTTGAGCTCTGCATGGGGCTCTCTGCTGTCAGCACAGAGCCCACTTTGGATCCTTTATCCCCCTCTCTCTCTGCCCCTCACCTGCTTGTGCTCTCTCTCTCTCAAGAAATGAATAAACATTAAAAAATTAAAAATGGGTTAAAAAATTGGATTTTTAGAAAAACGTATTTATTGTGAAAGAGAGCTAGCATCCATATGCACTTGTGAGTGAGTGGGAGAGGGGCAGAGGGAGAGGGAGAGAGAATCCCAAGTGGGCTCCATGCCCAGCCCTGAGCCTGATGCGGGGCTTGATCTCATGAAATGTGAAATCAAGAGTCGGATGCTTAACCAACTGAGCCACCGGATGCCTCCCTTTTTTTTTTTTTTTCTTTTTTTCTCAGAGAGAGCGAACGAGTGAGCAGGGGAGAGGGCAGAGGGAAAGAGAAAGAGAGAATCCCAAGCAGGCTCCACACTTGGCACATGAGCCCAATGCGGGGCTCAATCCCACGATCCTGGGACCATGGTCTGAGCTGATGTTAAGAGTAGGATGCTCAACTGACTGAGCCCCCCAGCCCCCCGCCCCCCCTTTTTTTTATATTGTTGAACTGTGACTCTTTTTTTGAAGGTGTTACTTAGGCTGTCTCCTGTACGTGTTGGTTTAGTAGTCCTGTGTCCTTCCTGGGCTAGCCAAGATCCATCTAGGCCCGTAGTCGTTACAAGCCAAACGCCACCGTGACAGAAGTAACACCAAGTTGCTTGGATATTTATATTTTCTGGACTTCATATCTTTACATTCACATATTAAAATTAATACAGTTCCCCAGTGTCTTACCAGGTACTCTGCAAACCTACTGCTGTGCTTGCCTTGCAGTTTTCTGGTGATGACATGGCATCTGCCAGTTCCAGCCGCGCAGGAGTGGCTCTGCCTTTTGAGAAGTCTCAACTTACTCTGAAAGGTGAGTGGCGCCGTGCGAGGGGTTTGCCCTTTGAGGTCTTAAACACGTCCGGGGCTCTCCATCTCGCCCGGTGGGAGCTGAAGACCCCTCAGGATATGACCCCACCCCCACTCCCACTCCTCATCTCTTGTTACTTTTCCACATGTGCTCGGCTATAGCCACACGGGCCTCTTTGCTCTCCGTTGAAGGTGCTGGCCATGCTACCCCCTCTGAGTGTTTGTACCTGCTGTTCCCTCTGAGTGAAATACTTTGGGGCCAGATGTCTACCTGCTTTGCTTCCTTACTTTCTAGAGGTCTTTTTTTTGTTTTTAATGGGCCAACTTCTTTTTTTTTTTTTTTTTAAGTTTATTTTTGAGAGAGACAGAGACAGCACGCCTGGGGGAGGGGCAGAGAGAGATTGGAAGACAGAGAATCCCAAGCAGACTCCACGCTGTCAGCATGGAGCCTGATGTAGGGCTCGAGCCCATGAAACCGTGAGGTCAAGACCTGAGCCGAAAACCAGGAGTCAGACGCTTAACCATCTGAGCCACCCAAGTGCCCCTGTAGGTCTTTACTCAAAAGTCACCTTCTTCAAAAGGCCTTCCTGATTCCCCCAGATGCAGCCTCCCCCTCCCCCACCTCCCTCATATCTGTCCTCTTCACTACTGTAGATTTCTCTTCTTAGCTTTGTCACCATTTAACACAGTACATATATTTATTTCCTTCGTTAACTGTCTCCTTCAATAGAATATAAACACCACAAACACAGGGATATTTGTCTGTCTTGGTTACTTCTGATACCGCAGTGATTGGAACAGTGCTGGAAACATATTGGGTTGCCAGTGAATATTGCTTGAATGACAGAATGTAGCTTTGGTAGCCTTAGGTCTGCAGAAGAGCCCTGGGAGATGCCTGGGGACGGGCGAAACAGCACTCGGTATCAGCACTCAGGCCTCTCAGAGGCACAGTCATTTGGAGGCAAAATTGTGTCATCATTTTTTTAATGATTATTTTTGATATGTAAATGTTACTCATTTATTTAATCTATTCACATACTTTAAAATTGTTTCCTTTCCTCCGGCTCCTCAGTGCCCCTGATTGGAGGAAACTAACATTACCAGTTTCTTGTGGTAGTATTACACATACAGACATATCAAAGGGGATGTAGTTTTGTGATTTTGAGAGCCGTGTTACCTTCCTTGGAAGGAATATTCTTCTAGCAGTGGATGAGAGTGGCTATTTCCCTACATCTTTACCAACACAATGTGTTGTCAGACCTTTTTTCTCTTTGCCAGTCTGATTGGTAAAAATAACTTTGTCAGCATAGTTTTATTTCACATTTCTTTAAGTTATAAATGATGTTTAGCATCTTACCATATATTTAAGGGAAACTTGTATTTCCTTTTCTGTGGATTGTGTGTTCATGTCCTCTGCCTGTTTCTTATTTACTTATGGATTAAAAAAAAAAAGTCTTGATACATTTTCATCATTTTTCTTGATGTCTCCATGGCTGTTCTAGGTCTTTGGAGGGGGGAGAAGCGTTAGAGTGAACTTGATAGAGCTTTGAACTTGCAACTTTAGCTTTTACTACCTTGTCTAGTAATTAGCAAGCCTAGATTAAAACAGAAGTATGTCCATGGAGCCTGGTGACATAATGAAGTCCCTGTTTTGGGGGCCTTATTATTCAGGAACACATAGTGACTTGTAAAGGTTTCTCTGTTTGCCTTTCCTCATTGTGAAATTTTTTGCTTGTGTGGAAAGAGCTAACTTGATAATACAGGTGCATCGCGTTATATGTGCATTTAACCTATAGGGAGTCTATAATGCCACTTAGGCAAATGGTTAGGGAGAAAAAGAAAAAGAGAAATGACAAAATAAATGGTGTGGGTGGTTCCTCCTCTGTTGTGTTTCACTGATAGAGCCTCTAGTGTAATTTGGGAGATGTGACTATGCTGTTCCCTCCCTTGTGCCTCTCTGTAATGCAGTCCTAGAGTTTTAAGATACATTTTAAAAATATATCAAGGCCCTTAAACATAAGCGACCTATTTTATCTGATATTTAACTTAAGAAGCACTGAGAAACTAAATACTAAAAAATAGCACAACATGGCTTCAACTGGCCTTTGGGAATCTACAGAAAGACCATCTATCAGACTCTATTTTGTGCCTTCCTGAGAGCTTTTCAAGGGTATAATTTTGGCCATGTGTGATTTTCCCCCCTTACTTGTTAACTTTAAAGGCTAAATCCCATGTGAAGATGTGAAATTGGCATTTATATTTCATTGAGCAGTAAATAAATTTTCCAGATAAACCTGCTCGTATGTTGAGACCTTTATTTTGGCTTGTGTTTTAAGAACAAGAGACATTCAGAGGCACCTGGGTGGCTCAGTTGGTTGAGTGCCCAACTTTGGCATAGGTCATGATCTCGTGGTTGGTGAGATCGAGCGCCACGTCGGGCTCACTGCTATCAGCATTCAGCCTGCTTTGGATCCTCTGTCCCCCTCTCTCTGCCCCTCTCCGGTTCATTCTCTCTCTCTCTCAAAAATAAAAATAAACATTAAAAAAAGAAACATTCAAAATATCACCCCCCTGCTTAATTATATGTTACAAAGGGGAAAATGTATCTTTACAGTGGAGTCACCTGACAGACCCCACATTAACCAAGGGATCAAACTTAGCATCCACAATAGGAGGACAACCTAGTGTGCATGGTGAGAAGTTTGCAATGTAACCTGTGTAGTATTCTTGACAAAAATGTTCAATGTGAATCTCACCACGAGGAAAACAATTTAAGAAATACAGGCTTTGGTGCATTCAATGAGAGAGCTGGTGGAAGTCTTTAAAAAGCATTGTCATGGACAAAGAAGGGGGAGCACTGTAGATTTTAAAAGATTAAGGAGCCAGCGACCAAATGCAATTTGCTCATCTCAGTTGGATCCTGGATTGGGGGAAACCAGCTCTAACAACATGTTTGGAACGGTTGGGGAAATTCGGATATGTAACGAGTATCAAATGATAGGAGTGACTAAATTTGTTGAGGTGTAATAATGGTGGTGTGGTTAGGTGGGAGAATGTCTTTTTCTCTTTCCTATGCCCAGCATGGGGCTCAAACTCATGACCTTGAGGTCAGGGGTTGCATGTTCTACCAACTGAGCCAGCCAGGAGACCCTCCTTATTATTATTATTTTTTTAATTGAAGTATAGTTAACCTACTGTGTTCTGTTCGTTTCAGGTGTACAGCATATAGAACATCCTTACTTGTATGAATTGCGTTCTGGACGTATTTAGGGCTGATCAGTCTTGATGTCTACAACTTACTTTCAAGTGGTTTACCAAAAAAGTTTGTGGGTATATGCACACTCATGCACATATATAGACATAGACATCACATGTCTATATCCCGTGCTGTCCAATAAGATAGCCACTACAGCCACATAGAAATTTTTACATTGATTAAAGTTAAATTTAAAATGCAAATCCTCAGTCATACTAGCCATGTTAATGGCTTCGTAGCCACATGTATCTCATGGCATTGCATTGGACTGTGCTGGCATAGAACTTTTTGCTTATCATTGAAGATTTTTTTTTTTAATGTTTATTTATTTAGTTTTGAGAGAGAGAGCGAGCACGAGTGGGGGAGGAGCAGAGAGAGAGGGAGACAGAGGATCTGAAGCAGGCTCTGCGCTAACAGCAGAGAGCCCCATGTCGGGCTTGAACTCCTAAACCATGAGATCGTGACCTGAGCCGAAGTTGGACACTCAACCCACTGGGTCACCCAGGTGCCCCTTATCACTGATATTTTCTTGAATAGCACTGACACAGGCACACACATAGAAAGAGAAAGAAGCAAAGGTGGCCAGATGGCAGTTGCTGCACAGTATATAAGTATTAGTTGTCCTATTCTTTCACCTTTTCTGGAAACTGAAAACTTCAAGATAAAACTACCAATATGTGATCCGAGATTGGGTCCTGGACGGACCAGGGGGAAAAAAAAGTTTCTTTTCTCTTTTGCTATAATGGACATTGATAGGACATTTAACAAAATTTAAATAAAGTCTGTACATTAGATCATAGTTTTAAAGGATGTTAAATTTCGCCATGTTGATAATTATACTGTGGTATTGTCAGAAAATGTCTTTGTTCTTGGAAATATGCACTGAAGTATTTAGAAGAAAGGGGGCACAGCATCTGAAACTCACTCTCAAAGTTTCAAAAACAAATGTGAATGTGTACGAGAGGCAGTCGGGGGAGAGAAAGAATAATAAAGCAAATATAGTGAAAAGTTAATATTTGGTGACCCTTAGGTGAAGGGTTTATAGGAATTCTTGGTATTTTTGAAGACCAAAAACAAAACAAAAACAAAACAAACAAAAAAAAATACTTAGGGAAAAAACTAGAGGGGCAAAAAAGGAAACACCATGGCAGAGTTCAGAGAATTGGCCGGGAGCTGGGAGACTTGGTTCCCAGCTTAGCTTTTGCCTCGGACTCCGTGATTTTGGATATGTTATTTCCCCTCAACCTTAGTTGGACAACTTTTAAACAAAGGGCTTGAACTTGTTGATTTCAAAGAAACTGTCCAGCTCAAAATAATAGGACTAGAATTATAACTAGTCGGCCCCCTGCTCCACCACCTTAAGGGTCTGGGTGCAGAGCTATGCTCACACCACTAGGTGGCCTCAGTTAACCTTGGTCTGTGTGAAAAGTATTTCGGTTTTCTACTCTGGACCACATTTCCCGCCACCACAACCTGTTTTTTCCCAGTACCATCCCTTGTTGCTTCTGAATCTTAGCCACAGCTTTTGCTTTTGTTGTTGTTTGTCTTGCTCTCTCCTGTTCTTTTGGGCCGGGAGAAGACAGGCATTGTTAAAAGAATCCAGAGTTAGGTTTGTCCTTTGTCAAGTTGTGGACCCTTACAGGACTCTGTAAGGGAATCTTGATGGAGGGGAGCTCAGTCTTGCCATCATAGGTAAGAAATGCCAGTCCTATGCTCTGATTTGGGGCATGGGATAGAGGACATCTTAGATGTGTTCCATCCCAGTGACCTGGAGTTTCCATTGTGGCTGATGTGTGCCATAAGAGACACCTGTCTGGCCCTGGGTGTATGGATACTTGTTTAGCCTGGCTTGCTGCTACCAAATAAACATCAGAAATGCTGCCACATCAAGGATACAAATAGAAAAGGAAATGCAGATGGCTGACAAGCACATAGAAAAAACATTGACCCTCACTAGTAATCGAAGAACAGCAGTAGAACAGATACGCAGAATCTGGTAACGATGTATAGCATGGTGTGGTGTCAGGTTGCCTGGGTGCACATCCTGGTTTGAAGCTCCCTGGCTATGTTTTCTGGGGCAATGACCTAACTTCCCCAAGCCTGCTTCCTCTTGGTTGAGATGGGGGTGGTGATATATTCCCTGCCCCATGGGTTTGTTTAAAGGATGGAGTTAGATGACGTGTGCACAGCATCGTGTCTGTAACAAGTGCTCATTAAATTTTACGTAATTTATATGTTTTTTTTAATCTATCTGATTTGCAAAAAGCAAAAAACAAAAAAACCCTTAATACTCAATGCTATGGTGGTGAAATGAATATATTCATCTACGTGGGTTTATCCTTTTGGCAAAGGAATTAAACTGTTTTGGGAACTTTAAAAAATATTCAGATCATTTGGAGGAAATGCATGCAAATCTGTATATTCATGATGATTTTCCCAGAGTGAAAAATTGAAAGTAGTCTTTTCAGCATTGAAAGAATAGTTAACTAAATTGTGGCACGTCTGTACAATGGGCTCGTATTGCAGCCATTTAAAATTGAGAAGAATTCTTAAAGAATTGGGGGCGTAAGAGATGAAAGTCTGGATTTGCCAACATCTTAATGATAATTATCCCAGAGTTTTCAGGTTAGGAGTGCTTCTTTTCTTAAGCTTCATTTTTAAAAAAAAAATTTGTTGAGCATCAGAAAGAAACCAAAACTTACTTTTTAAACGTAACAGCAGAAAAGAGCAAGAACATCTGCCACAGGGGGGCAGCTGGGAGCCCTCTGACTCATCTTTGACTTTTCTTTCCTGTCCAGTGGTGTCAGCAAAGCCCAAGGTGCATAATCGTCAACCTCGAATTAACTCATTTGTGGAGGTGGCAGTGGATGGACTCCCCAGTGAGACCAAGAAGACTGGGAAGCGAATTGGGAGCTCGGAGCTTCTCTGGAATGAGATCATCATTTTGTAAGAGAAAGTCCCTTCTCTTCTCAGTAACATGGGAGAAAGAGAGAAGGCTCTCCAAGGGGGTTGTGGGAGATCCAGGTTTCCTGTGAGGCCTCAAACTCTTCTGCCTTTGGTACCCAAGGCGCCTCTCTTCAGGTGTTTCTACATCATTGAGCTCACAGAGCACTCATTATTAGCTAGATGGTTACAGGGCCAGCTTTGTGGGGGAAAGGGTGTACGTGAACGTCTTCCTGTTTGAGGTCCCCCCCGCCAAGATGTCAGCAGTATAGTTGATCTGTTTTCTTCTCAGCTGTAGGAGTGACCAGTATGCTTGGATGTGATGAATCAAGTATTTGTTTTCCAGGAATGTCACGGCCCAGAGTCATTTAGATTTGAAGGTTTGGAGCTGCCATACTTTGAGAAATGAGCTGCTAGGCACCGCCTCTGTCAACCTCTCCAATGTCCTGAAGAACAATGGGGGCAAAAGTACGTATGATGATGGGGTGGCCGACATGATTCATCTGTGGGGGGTGGGAGAAGAATTCAGAAGGCTTGGATTTCTCTCACACACCACGGACAGACCCGGTGATGCGGTTTCCTCCAGGACCAGGGGCTGCGGGGACTCTGTTCCCCATAGACGCTGCCCGTGGAGTTTTAGGAAGGCGAGAGCTCTTCTTTTCTGCCTTCACTGTGGGATTCAGCCTGTTTTGTCCTCGGGCTCTAGCGCTGGGATGCAGTGATGTGTCGCCTTGATCCTTTCTCAAGGATGAATGCTTTCCCTCTGCCTCTGACTCTCTTTTCCCAATCCCGGAGACATGTGACATTTTGAATCAAACTGTCAAATGCCTGCACCCCAAATCATTACTTTCCTAGTCTGAGTCCTTGAATGGAACAAAGAAGCTGCGTGTGTTTGTGTGTTTGTGTGTTTGTGTGGAGGGGGGAATTGTGTTACACGTAGTGCCTTGTGCTTAGTAGGCACTCAGTGAACGTTTACTGGATATTGGAATGTGCTGGAAGCTGTGTCTTAATTATTCAGGGTGCCTCTGCTGCATGGAAATCTAAACCCTAACGTCTATTTATTGCTGCTTGTGGTCAGTGGTATAACCCGTGGCTGTGGTATCTGGACCCTCCCTCATAAAGCCTCTATTGAGAGCGGTACCATATGTGGGGAGGGAACGCCATGGAAAGAAAGGCTCCTTTTTCTTTTGATGTCTGCTGTCTAGAAAATATTTTCTGAAAGTGGAGTTAGCTTAAGAGGGATGTGGGGGTGGGGAGTGTTGAGTCCCGGGTGAGCGCTGTGTGGATTCAAAAGTCTTTTCTTTCTGACAGGCCGCTCGAGTGGTGTTTGAGGTTCCCCTGGTCTTTCCCTTTCTGCCGGGCACCCAGAGATGTGGGGAGCCTGCCGCAGCTTCAGAAATTGCTTAAAACCAGGAATACGCCTCTATTTTAGTTCTGCAGGGAGCTCCCTGATGGTTTCTCTTCTGAGTCTGTCTTTATTTTCTCAAACTCTAGCCTGCCTTTTATAATTTGATTATCGAGGAGGGTTATATTTATCATGTCTTTTGGAGATACACTTGTGGACATTGTCACGTTAGGATCAGCAGCCAATGAGTGTCCTTTCTTTTCTTCTTCATTTGTTCCGTCAACATACCTTTGCTTTTGATTGTAAAAGTAATTGTAGCAAAACTGGAAATTACACACAAGCGCACAGACGTACAAAGAAAATAAAATTCTCCTGTAAACCACAGTGCTTAGTGATAATTGCTAACATTTTGATATGTATTTTTCTGAGCCTTTTTTCCTGTTGCACATGTATATATTTAAGACATCCGTGAAACAAAATCGTGACCATACAAAAACATATTATTTTACAACATATTATTTTACATTTTTTCTCTTTAAAATGTATTAGTATATCTTTTTTTATTTAAACATTTTTTTAATGTTTGTTTTTGAGAGAGGAAGAGTGCATGTGTGTGCTAGCAGGGGAGGGGGACAGAGAGAGGTAGAGAGAGGATCCCAAGCAGTTTCCATGCTATCAGAGCAGAGCCCGACGTGGGGCTTGAACTCAAGAACCATGAAATCATGACCTGAGCCAAAGTCAGACACCCAACTGACTGAGCCACCCAGGTGCCCCTTTTTTTTGTTCTAAAGTTGTTTATTATTATTATTTTTTTGTAATCTCTATACTCAACGTGGGGCTCAAACCTATGACCGCAGGATCAAGAGCCGCATGCTCTTCTGACTGAGCCAGTCAGGTGCCCCTCAGTAGATCTTTATTTACTTACTTATTTTTTTCTAATTGTGATGAAAGGCATGTAACATAAAATTTACCGTCTTAACCATTCGTAAGTGTGCCGTGTAGTGGCAATTGAGTACACGCTTGTTATGCAAGCATCACTGCCATTCATTTTCAGAAGTTTGTTTATAAATGTTTATTTTTGACAGAGAGAGAGTGCATACATGCACGCATGAGCAGGGGAGGGGCAGAGAGAGAGAGGGAGACAGAGGATCTGAAGCAGGCTCTGCGCTGAGAGCAGAGAGCCCACTAAGGGGCTTGAACCCCTGAACTGTGAGATCGTGACCTGAGCCGAAGTCAGACACTTAACCGACTGAGCCACCCAGGTGCCTCATCTTCAGAACTTTAAACTCAAACTCTCTACCCACTGCACAGTTCATTTCTCCTCTTCCCTCCACCCCGCCCACAGTTCTACTTTTTCTTTTCTTTTTTTTTTTTTT